ATACACGAAATGGCTGAGTTTTGGGACAGTGGCTGGAAGATGTTCAAGCGGAAGGCAGAAGAACTGTTCCCAGACTTGGACCTTAGCAGTGTAAGGATTGATGAAGACGACGTGGCCCAGACCCCCCTAGATGAGAGTGTTAAAGAAGAAGACCTTGTTTCAAGTGAGGAAGAGTGACTGGTGTGGACAAAACCTGTACTTATGGTTTTGGGTATTTATTGTGCTTTGGGTTGTACAAGTTTTTTTTTTTTTGTTTTGTTTTTTTTTGTTTTGTTTTGTTTTGTTTTTTTTTTTGTTTTTCTCTGCAAATTAGGGTTCGTGTCCATCTGTTCTTTCATCTTCTTCTTGATCAGGTTTCGGTTACTCATTCTGTTAGATTTTTATTACATTAATTCTACCCAAAAAAAAAATTTTTGTTAGAATTTCAGTATGATCTTTTGTTAGATTTGGTTTTGAATTTAAATTTTTTTTTTTTTTTTGTAATTTGCTGTTTAGGGTTTTGGGGTTTGTAAAAGCTTGATTAGGGTTTATGTTATGAACAATGTCGACTCTCGATTCGTACGGTGTTGGTGTTGATGGTGGTGCTCAAACTTCTCAAGGTGGCTCGGCTGGCTTGATGTCGAACATGCGCTTAGCTTTCAGCGCCGACGGCGCCACGGTCTACAAGCCTGTGATGCCACCAACGCCGCCACATTCGGCTACGCCCACACCCATCTATCAAGCAGGCGGCGATAGATCTGCCGTGGCGGCTGACTCGCCGCTGAGCATTGGCGGCGCCGTCGCCGGAGAACAGAGCAAGAGGAAGCGAGGGAGGCCTAGGAAGTACGCTCTTGATGGTACTATAGTTCCTGCTTTAAGGTCTCCCCCGGCGGCTCTGCCGGAGCCGGCTTTGCAGTCGGGCGGGTTCTCGACTCCCGCTTCGGTGGCTACATCGCCGCCTGGGAAGAAGCCGAGGGGCCGACCACCTGGAACCGGGCGGAAACATCAAGGTGCTGCTATGGGTAAGCATCAGAGTCCTCTTGATTCATATGTGTGTGTGTGTGTGTGTGTGTGTGTTTGGGTTTGGGGTTGTGTTTGTGTTTGGATTTATGTTTTTTAAATTGTTTATTTTAATGTGGCTGTCAGGTCTGATCTTTATCTTTTATGTTACTTTCATTTCTAAACTATATAATATGTGCAGGAACATAGATATAATATAACGCATTCCCATTTAGAAAAATGAAGAATAGTTTATACTTTTTGGGACATTAATATAACCAGTGTTCATCTGTTTGTTTGTTGATTTATTTTTAATCTGAAGGAAGGGAGGATATATATATATATATATATGTGAGGAGATGGAAGGATGTGTCTCTAGAAGAGGGAGTGAAGGCATATATTAGTTTATTTTTCAGCAACCTGGGTGATCGGAAAGTAGTATTATATTCTATGATTCAATGACAGCTATGTCTTTGGGCCCCGTTTGTTTTGGAGTGTAGAGGGTGGGATGGGATTAGGATGGAGGTGGGGCCTATTTAGTGTTGTGTTTGTTTATAGAGTTGAGGAAGGGATTCGGATGGAGAAGGGGATTAAGATAGAGGTTGAAAGGGGGATTGAGATGGAGGAGGTAATGATGGAGTTGGAGGTGGTATTAGAAAATAGTGAGTGGACTAGAAATTTTTTTATTTTTTATATGTTGCGCATTTTTTTTTAAACATTAATGTTTAATTTTTTGTATTTTTTATTTGTTTTATTATTTTATATAAAAATAATTTAACAATTTCTACACTAACAACTATTCTATGATTCAATGACAGCTATGTCTTTGGGCCCCGTTTGTTTTGGAGTGTAGAGGGTGGGATGGGATTAGGATGGAGGTGGGGCCCATTTAGTGTTGTGTTTGTTTATAAAGTTGAGGAAGGGATTCGGATGGAGAAGGGGATTAAGATAGAGGTTGAAAGGGGGATTGAGATGGAGGAGGTAATGATGGAGTTGGAGGTGGTATTAGAAAATAGTGAGTGGACTAAAAATTTTTATATTTTTTATATGTTGGGGCATTTTTTTTTTAACATTAATGTTTAATTTTTTTTATATTTTTTTATTATTTTATATAAAAATAATTTAACAATTCTTACACTAACAACTATCATTAAAACAAATATAATTTTACTTTCCCTCACTAACAATCTCCTCATTGTTAATCTCCTCACTATGAATCTCTTCCATTCTATCTCTGAAAATAAATAGAGTTTTGGGGAAATTTTATGATCACTGTCAAACTGTAAATTGCTATTTTACGAGCTATTTATTTATTTATTTTATTTGCCAAAGTTGAGTTCTTTAAGTACAAGTTGTTTTGAACTTATTTTTTTAACCATTTTGTTTTGTGATTATTGAAGTCATGTTGAAAGAATTTGAGTTTGGTTAAAAAACCTTGTTTTTTTACTATATGGCCTGTTCAATGTTAGAAAAAGATTGCCAAGGTCTCAAAGTTGCCTATCTCATTTATTTGGATTTGTTTTTTTTTTTTGCCTTGGGCACAAAGTTGTTAACTTGTCATATTCTTTCTTTCTTTCTTTCTTTTCCTTTCATTTCTTTTTGTTTGTTTGTTTGTTTCTTCCAATTTTGATCTCATATAAGGAGTTTGTTGTTTGGAAAAGAAAAAAAGACTTGTAATGATAACTCTGATTTAATAACCAGAATGAAATTTATTTTGGGATTGATTATTCATTGTTACATGCCTCAGACAAGATCTCTTATTGACGGTGTTGTTGACTATTTTAATCGTGGTTGTATTTTTCATCTGTTTAGAGGATTTTTTTTATTTTATAAATAAGCAAACTTTATTAAAGTATCAAGTCGATACAAAGAATACAACAAACCTACCAACTAATAGCAAATATAAACGAAAACAACACTAATAACAAAAAGCAACTAAATTAAATCCTCTACAAAATCAACAAAGGTCAAAACATCCGGGTCCACTGATAAGAATAACCAACTATGCAACACAATGAACAAACGCCTTTCCAACCATGCCAGCGAACTAATCTTTCCCAAAAACACTGGCCTATTACGCCCCAACCAAATGAGCCACAATACAAGCCTTCTGACGGCGCTTCCTAACCCTTCCCCCAGCCCAACTTAGTAACACCGCCCACATTGTCCTGGATTGAGCCCAAGCCAAACTGAAGATAGCATCCAAAGACGTGACGCAACTGGACAGCAAATCAGCAAGTGATCCACCGTTTCCGCATCCTTACAACACGTGCTACACCATTTTACTAAAATATGCCAATGACCAACCAAATTATCAATCGTCAGAATATGCCCTAATGCTGTTGTCCACACAAAAAAAGTAACTTTGGACGGACAACCCACTACCCAAACAGTCTTCCATGGGAACGGCATCCCATCCCTTCTTGAAAACGAATGGTAAAAAAAAGACACAGAAAATATCCTTTTGGACTTTGACCCATCCCACCTCAAAGAATCCTCCCCAACCCCCCCAAACCGAAGTCCATACAAAAAGCCTAACAAATCCAGCAATTGGCCCACCTCCCAATCCTGCACATCCCGATGCAACCCAACATTCCACACCACTACTTAGCCTTGAATCTGAGCATAAGATGCTACCGTCACGTCTCGATCAATCACAAGACGAAAAATCAACAGGAACATCACCTCCAAAGCCATCTCACCACACCACCTATCCCTCCAAAATTGAACTCGTTCCCCCACCCCAACCCTAAAACTAATCCTTTTCATAAACTCCGCCCATGCGACTATGTAACCTCTCCAATACTCCAATCCCCCTATCCCAAACCATATTTATCCCCCACCCTCCACAACTGCTCCCTCTCTACCCCAAATCGCCATAACCACTTACCCAGAAGGGCCAAATTGAACGAAATCAAACTCCGAATCTCCAAATCCCCCATCATTTTAGGAGAACAAATTTGATCCCATGCGACCAAATGGTAATAAAAAGACTCATAACCACCACCCCATAAGAAATCCCTCTGTAACTTCTTTAACCGCTTAGCAACAGACACAAGGATAACATGAACAGACATAAAATAAGTCGGTATTCTCGAGAGCACACTCTTTATCAGAGCCACTCACCCTCCTTTCGAAAGGTATTGGAGCTTCCAGCCGGCTAGACGACGCTGCACCTTGCCCACCATCCCATCCTATACCCCTTTCGCCTTATATAAAGCACCCAAAGGTAACCCCAAATAAGTTGTGGGCAATGTGGCCACCTTGCACCCCCAAAAATGGCAGCCAATATCGATATACACGCCACTACACCGACCGGAATCATCTCGGATCTCCCCAAATTCATGCGAAACCGTCTCAAAGCATAAAAAAACACACCTCAAATAACCAATCTGAGCCTCCTCCGCTCCACAAAAAATAAGGGCATCATCTGCATAAAACAAATGAAACACCACCAAGCTAGTATTCTGCGCCATCCCACCTTGAAACCTGTCAACAAACCTTTCTGAACCGCCCTGGATAACGAACGGCCCAAAGCCTTCATAATCAAGATAAACAATAACAGAGATAAAGGATCTCCCTGCCACAAACCTTTATAAGTCAGGAAAAAACTTGCTGGCGTCCCATTCACACGGACAGACATTCGAAAAGTAGTTATACAAAACGGAATCCACCTCCTCCACACCATCCCAAACCCCTATCATTTCCAACATATATATCAAGAGCCTCCAGTTCACATTATCATATGCCTTTTCAATATCCAACTTGCAAATAATCCCTGGATGTCCTTGTCGAATCCGCGAATCAACACACTCATTAGCTGCCAAGACAGCATCCAAAATCTGACGACCACCCACAAAGGCATTCTGGGACTCTGACACCACCCCCTCCAAAACCTCTCGCAATCTGTTAGCTAAGACTTTAGCCAAAAGCTTGTACACACTCCCTAACAAACTAATGGGTCGAAAGTCCCTAATATCCTTCGCCCTTCCTTTTTTTGGAATTAAGGCTATGAAAGTAGCATTAAGACTCTTCTCGAACTGTCCTGTCTGATAAAATTGAGCAAACATAACCAACACATCTATCTTCACAACTCCCCAACACAACTGAAAGAAAAGCATAGTATAACCATCAAGCCCCGGCGCTTTGTCCCCAGACATCTTCTAGAAAGCCCCTAAAACCTCCTCCTCTGAAAATGGCCGTTCCAACATCTGCCTATCCGCCTCTAAAATAGCATCGAACTGAACACCATCCAACCCCGGCCGCCAAGTTCCTCCTTCCCCCCGAAATAGGCGCTGATAGAAACTCACGATGCCATCCCTCACCTCTTCCTCCGACAATAACACCACACCATTGACCCGCATCTTCCCAATTTGATTCACCCGACGATTAGCGTTTGCCATACGATGAATTTTTTTGGTATTTCGATCCCCCTCTTTCAGCCACAAACATCTGGATCTCTGTCGGTAACTAACCTCCTCCATGTGAGCCACATGACCAAAGTCCTTCCTTGCCCCTTCCCAGGCCGCCAAATCCTCCTCGGACAAGCTACCCTCAAGCTCCTTCTCATCTAACCCCTGCAGCACTGCCAAAATATTTGTCTTCTAAGTCTCCAACCAACCAAAAACCTCCTTGTTCCACCTCCGCAAATCAGACTTAAGAAGCTTTAATTTCTAAGCCAACCTACTATTAGGATCTCCCATCATGGAGTAATGTTTAGAGTATTTAGTTTGATAGGAAAACAAGAATTCATGTTTGAATATGTCATGTTAATTTTCTAATGTTTCTTCATCAGCTAATTGCTCAAAAAAAATATAAATAAATAAATAAATAAAAACATTCTTAAATTTTATTCTACATGCATTAAATTTGTACTCCTGCACAAACCAAAAAATTTCCTTTGTTGATAAGGTATTCCATATTAAAGATTGGTCTTTATATTGCTGCTGCATTCAAGTAATATTAATATTCTGCAGACCTAATTGGATATTATTTTGCAGGATCACCAGGGGTTGGGTTTACGCCACATATCATCACAGTAAAAGCTGGAGAGGTGGTTATTGATCTTTTGCTTTCCCCTTCACTGTTCATGGATTTTTTTTCTTAATTTATAGTGGAAGTTGGTTTTTAAAAGGGAAGGAAAATAGAAAGTTGATAATCATGCAACTGGATCTAAGACTAATTTTTATAGTTTCATTACATAGAAATCAATTATTCATAGAAACTACGAGTGTAGAATTTTTATCAGTCCCTTGTTTGGTTTCATGATTAGTTGCGGTTGCAAGTATGATTTCTCATCCTCTCCATGACAGGTTACAAATAGCAATTGAAGTCCACAATTTATGATGTGAACTCATAATTGTGTGCATATACATTCTGTAGTTCCTGAATTAGTAACTTGGATAGGTTCTTTAATCTTCAATGTGCTCCTAGCCATGGCCCATGACGTGTTAGGGGAGTCCATTACTCTCTTCTTCTTCCCTTTTTTGGGATCATTGTTATTAAATATCTGTCTAACAGTCAGGTGAACAAAGTTTGCATAAATGCATATTTGGCAATCTTATTATTTTCCTCATGTAATAAATGCGACTATGATATGATCAGGGCACAGAGGAGGTATTTACATATGATTTAGAAAAAGCTTATAATATTGTGTCTATAGATATAATATGATCAGGGCTGGAATCGTAGTCCTTTTGGGACTAGAAGTTCTTCCTGTCTATACAAAGTTATGTAATCCATGTATTTCAATGTACATTATGTTTTAGAGAATTTTATTAGGCTTTTGAAGCTCTATTGATTGTGTGATGTGTCCCTAACCGTAGGTGTGATGTCTATAGAATCTAGTTGTCCTCCTATAATTTTTCTTCATTTTTAAAGGGTGGGCCTTGGGGCAACGATAAGGTTGCGTTGTGACTTGGGCTACATGTGTCCAAAACATGGAAATTGCCTCTTCACTTGCGGAGGTAAGGCTGCGTACATTTGACACTCTTCCTAGACAATGCATTGGCGGGAGCTTAATGCATTGGACTGCCCCTCTTCTTTTTTTTTTTCTTTATTCTTCTTTCACTTCTCTGTTCTAGCTTTCCCAAAATTTGAAATTCACTTTTTCACTTTTAAAACCTATTGTACAAGCCTATTCAATTCACATGCAGGAACATCCCCTGAACATTGCCAAATTCCATTTCTGCATGTCCAAATCTTTCCTTTTTGTTTCTACATACCTAATAGCTCATCTACATTTACCACAAGAACCTAGATCTAATCACTGCTAAATAGAGCCCACCCTTGCTGCCCTGGGGCTCACTGCCTGTAGGAGAGTGTTCCAATACCGTCACTCACATTCTGTACACATTTTAAATCTGTAAGGACCAGAAAATTTGCTGAAAACTAGGAACTGAGAACACTGCAATTTAGTTTTGAATAGGATGCACCACTAAAATTTCTAAAAATATTCTTATGCATACAAATTGGTTTTGAATGGCAGTCCCTATTTTTATCAACCTATTCTATCTAAAATGGATGTGAGATTTGGGCACATTAGTCTGATGAAAAGGGGTAAAGTGTTATTTGTTTGGTTTTGTTGCTGCTGCTATCTCACTCAATGATAAAATTGTCAAGGAGGCAAGAAAGCATAGATGCCAAGAATTTAAGGGACAACATATGGCTGTGTAGAGTTGAATGACATTTGAAGGATTCATCTAGCCAACTCAAAATTGTTGCATTAGGATTTTATTGAGATGAGTTGAGTAGAAGATGAGTGTTTAATAGTTGAATTAAAATTATGTAAAGTGTTATTGTCCTTTTAGGCAACGATGCGCATGTGGAGATGCTTTATTCTCAACAATTCATTTATGACCATTCCCTTTTATAGTGCAAACTGGATATTTTTTCTTTCATTCCTGTAAGTAACCGTGAATTATTCTCAAGTGCTGACACATGGAGCCATTATCTTATATGTGGAAATGCATTGATTAAGTGTTGATCATATTTTTATGTCAGACTTTGCTTTATTACTTAATGATTGTATTTCAAAACTACTCGTATTATAACTCTGCAATTTTGTTTTTTACATTACACTTTATGATTACAAAATGTCAAATCACTAATTTAGAATTTATTTTTTTATGCTTTTCAGGATGTATCTTCCAAAATAATGTCATTTTCTCAAAATAGCACAGGCGCTATCTGCATTCTGTCAGCAAATGGTGCCATATCGAATGTAACTCTTCGTCAAGCGGCAACATCTGGTGGAACTGTTACTTATGAGGTGATAATCTTATACTTCTGTCTATGGTAGTTTTGCTTATGGATTATGACCCGCATGGAAGCATCATTTGCTCAAATATAAGATGGCTTTCTATTGCAAAGGCTCATAGTCCTAAATGTAGTGTTTGACAGCTTTAAACTGTAATCATTTCCTTGTGCTTTAGGTAGCATCTGAAAACATGCCAATGGTTATGCATTATTGACAAAATTATGATATATGTTGTGATTATAAAATTAGTTTTGAGATCACATTTTAAAATCCTAAACAGCCATAGTTTTAACCACTCTTAAGCTATGATCAGACCATTCACATGTTTTGAGAAAACATGATGGTTTCATTTGAACTTTTGGTGTAAATCTATGTAAGTTATTTCGATCTCGATACATTGATAAAATTTATTTTTTTCTTTTGATCTTCTTTTCCTTTTGCTTCTGTAAATTCCTATATTTAAACTGTTGTTTCATTTCACCGCCATGGAGGAGCCACCTGTCCTATTGGACGTTGTCGAGCCATGTCAATGTAAAATGATAGTCATCGCTGTGTTTTCTCTGTTCTCATAAATTTGACGAAATTTAAACTTTATAAAATTGGTTCTTCTCCTGTGACATAAGCATTGAAATCATTGGAATGTATTTGACACCGAAGGGCAATGTTAGATTCAACATAGCTCCTTTGTATAAAAATGAAAGCAAATAAAAGTTTTATTTTTTTATCACTGTTTTACTAGAATCATTTGACAGAGGATTACCTGTGGATACTGTTAAAGGTTTTTCTTATGATATGATAAACTATGAACACAAGTCTCTTGTTTGTAGTATCGTGGCAACAAAATTCTTTCATATATTGCTCATTAAATTAAATCCAATGCAAATAAGTGGCAGAAGATTATTGTTGCTCTAGAGACTATTTGTGCTGGTGTATATTTGTTGACCATCTTAAATCATACAAGATACTTATGCAGGGACGCTTTGAGATCCTTTCTCTTTCTGGTTCATATATGCTCTTAGATAGTGGTGGTCAGCGCAGCAGAACTGGTGGGTTAAGTGTGTTGTTGGCGGGGCCAGATGGCCGTGTCTTAGGTGGTGGTGTAGCAGGGCTTCTAACTGCGGCTGCTCCAGTGCAGGTTCGTTTTCCTTTGAATAAATTATGTTTTTTTTTTCTCACTTCCCAAGCCATGTTACTTGTCTTACAATTCAATCCATCTAATAGCTATGAACCGTCCTTGTTGGGATCCAGTAAGATGTTACAAAGATGGCACTCTCTTGGAATTTCTTGGATTCTCTTCCTTGGACCTGACCTTTTTAACTGATTCTTAAGAAAGGGGATTTGATTTCTGAACTCAGAATTCAGATGCCTTTTCCATTTTGATCCTCTCTTTTTTTCATCATCTTCAGCATGTCCTATGTATTCAAAAGTTTTTGTTCCAAACATGACAAAATTACCAGCTGAACTGCTGTTAGTAATCAAAAGGTTACAATCTGCAATTTTATAACAATTGACAGATGTATGGACTGTAATCTAATCTTCCAGAGATCAGTCAATTTGATTCTCACTTGCAGACACAGGACTAGGCCTGCAAATGAACTAAGCTCAAGCTCTAGTTCAAGGCCTGTTAATTTAATGAGCCGAGTTTGAGCAACTACAGGCTTGGCTTGGTTTTGTGAACTTGGCTTTGTTGAATATTTATGTAATTTCATGTCTGCTGCTCATCTGCATTAAGATCCTGCTTGGTTTTGGAGAATTCAAAGCAATATGGCATCAAGGCTTCAACTACTTTTTCGAACTCTTAGAACTCCTCTGAAATAATTATTGAGAGCAATGTTTTAAAACCTGGACCAGTTCATCATAACGGAAAAAGGTACATTCAACTGTCGGGGTCAATCGCAATCAAACCATGACATCATAATTATCTCATAAAAATATAGGTATTAAGATACATTCATTTAAATTAGTTTTATATTTTAAAAAATATATTTACATAATTATATCTAATAAATATATATATATTTTTTTTATTTTTTCGACGCCGGTTTCTTGAACTGGCTACTGGATTCTGGATGGTCTGTTCAACCGATGGTTTCACCAGTTTAACAAATATAACGCTGGTTTTCAAACTAAAGTGGGTTCAAGGATTTATCCGGACCAGAGCCTAGACTGGTAGTTAATCGGTTGAACTGGCCAGTCTGGTCCGGTTATTAAAACATTGATCAAGAGCACAGCTGGCTCCGTTTCTCTCCGTGTGTCAATTTATCAACTCAATCAAAGTCCACATATGAGGAATCTCCCTCTCCTCTCCCTCTCTTCTTTCTTTGAATTTCTCGTCTTTCTAGCAAAATATTTCTTAACAGCAACATGATTCTTTAGCTTTTCTGTATATTTTTCATTTTGTTCAACTTATCCGGTTTGTAATGTGGTTCTTATTCTGATGCGAGGACCCAATCTGTGTTTTAAGGTTTTAGATATTTTTATCATTTGTCCAAGATTTCACAGATTCAAAACAGGGTGTTCTTTCCTTATATGCTCTTTCTAAATCCATGATCTGGGATCCTTAATTGCTAATGGTTAAGTTTTTTCTTTTTTCTTGTTTTTGTTTTTAGTTTTTCGTTATGACATAGTGCTGACTGTTTGCTCCAACTTTAAATAAAGCTTATGATCCCCTCTTATCTTCATTTTTATCTCAAAATTGAGTTGAGCCAAGCCAGCCTAGCATGAATAAGTTTGGACAAGTTTATGACGAGTTTGAACGAAGTTTGAGCTTGGTCCCGAGACAGCCAAGCTAAAAACGAACTTCCCTTGTGTAAAACCTTCTCAGGCTCTTGTACAGATTTCATGAAATAATCACAGAATGATTCTATCTCTCTAGGATGGTCCAATATCTGATGCAGGCAAGATTTTTAGAAATATTATTTTTTTTTTATTTTGAAATTAATATTTGGTTAACATTATTCTAATTTAGTATATTAGTTAGCTTCCTGATTTGAAATGATTTAGTCCTTTTATTTAAGTAGTTTTGATTGTAGTTCCTATTTTGTTAGTTTCTTGTTTTACAATAATGAGGGTTATTATGAATAATGACTCTTAGCTTAGCCTTAATGCAAGACATTTTTTGGAGAATTAATGTGTGTGTTTGGTTTGAGTTTTTTGGATTTAGTTTTTTAAAAACTGAGTTTTTTGTTTTTTGTATTTTTTTGTTTTTAGTGAATATTTTTAACATTTTAAGCATTTTTTTTTATTTTTTTAGATGCACCTTACTTAGATGTATCTAAAAAGTAAAAAATTTGTGAAAAAATATTTTAAAAAATTAATAAATACATAAAAATACAAAAAATATACTGAATTCTCGTTTTTTTTTTTTGTATTTTTGATATTTTGTGAATTTTTAAAAGATTTTCTTCCCAAAAATTATACTTTTTATGTGTATTTATGTTAGGTGTGTCTAAAAATTAAAAAAAATTGCTTAAAATATTAAAAAAATTCAGTAAAAATAAAATAAAAAAACCCGGAAAACAAGAAAGTAGAATTTTCTGAAAAGTGTTTTTGGAAAATAAAAAACAATACAATTTCGAGTTTATACTCTTCTTTCCAACATTATGTACTTTTTGCGAATCAACCATTGTTGAGCCTTTGTTCCCTATATCCCCTGTTGAATCTAGAGAAGGATCTAGTTTCAGGCATTCAGTCTTGAATGAATGGACCAAAAAATCGTTACCATACTCTTATCAATTACGGGTTCCTTACTGCATCAATTTCACATTTGGTCAAAAATTAAAACTAAGACTGATTTCTGGTGCTGTTGCAGGTAGTTGTCGGTTGTTTCATTGCAGGTCAGGATTTAAATTCACCAAACCAAGCCACTCCCGTAGCTGGTCCACCAAAGCTCAGCGGCCATGGAGCATCAGGAGCTGGAAGTCCAGCATCGCGTGGGACCATGAGTGAATCCTCTGGTGGGCCCGGAAGCCCTCTTAACCAGAGTACTGGAGCATGCAATAATAATAGCAATCTGCAAGGCTTGAACAACTTGTCTTGGAAATAAGACTGATGACCAATAAAATGGCTTTGCTCTCTTCGAGGCTTATTCTGTGGATGTGCTGTGCTAACCTCCAACAATCCAAATGTTAGGAAGCTGATGTGTAACTTGTGACCGGCTTATGTGTAATGCATATTTGCTTCTGGGAAAAGACCATATGAGCACTGCAATTGTGCAAAAACTAAAAACCTATTCCCATCTCCCCCTTATGAGGCACCCTTTAGTGACTAAACTACATAAAAATAGTTGGATATTGTGTTTTAGATGGTTCTAAAAATTAACGTTTAGTGTTATTCTTCCGTTGCATGTGGCTGTGTGTTGTCTTGTTGATCCTGAAAGGTTTGTAGCTGTTCATATGCTTTCTGAATTTGATCATCAGAGTTTGCTTTTTGCTGAGTTTTTTATAGATCAGGTTGATTTGTTGGTTGGTTGGATTGTTTTTACCATCCAAGTGGATGGCATCTCAGGTGATGACAACTTGAATTGCTTGGTTGTATTGTATGTTTGTTTCTCTGAGCTTTGATGATGTGATCACCATACACTGAGCTTGCGTCCTCAGTTCAGTAATTCTTTTGAAGTCAATTACTGGTTTTTTCCTGGTAATTGCCTAGTGCTTGTAGAATTGAGTCTGCCATGCTTAGGAACTGAATGTGCATTGAAATGGTGATTTTTTTTTCTTTGTTCTATTTTTTGGGCTGTGTTGGTTTGGTTGGCTTTTTCTTTTTTTTTTTTTGGAAGGGTGGTTATGTCTAGGGTTTGCCAAAAAACTGTTAAGCCAAGCCAACTTAACATGTGTGGTTTGATAAAGTTGGCGAGTTGGGTTGGATTGGTTGGGTGATAAAATTGATTGGTTAGTTAAGCTGATTGTTAAAATTTGTTAACTCATCTACAAATTGATCTAATTTGTCTGTCTATCTGTAAACACAAAATTGCTTTGTACCTACTCATGTATAATCTCTCTCCCTAATCTTATTATCTACGTAATGTTCATTGCATGCATATTTTTAATTTAATTGTTCTGTATATTAATTTGTGAAGTGAAAAATATTATTTGCATTCAATTAATTTTTAAGCTTTGTATCAGGATCGGGAATAAATAATCAATTTATTGTTTGAAATTGTAAAATAAGTTAATTTTGTAGTCATTGATGATTTATCTTATTTTGTTTTTCTTAACCCCCTAGTACCTACAGCCCCCTTCTTTTTTGCCAGTCATTGCTCTGCATATCACCCTCTGTCTCTCTCTCTCTCTCTCTCATCAAACTAAGTTATTGTTCCAAGCAAATGGGATTGGTTATGTGAATTTATTTTATCATCATTCAGTTCTATCAAGAGATATATATTTCATTCAATTAACCAATCATATATATATTGTTATATTTACAAATCTTTATTGTACATGATCAAACATTTTAATCTCTTGCACAATTTATCTTTAATAGATGTACTATTTCTACCATTTGACAGATATATATTCATTTTTAATTTTTAATTTTTTAATTTTACCACGTCCATTGAAGTATTCGTAACTTAGCTCTCAGCTACATTCATTTTCTCTTTCCTTACAGGATATTCGAACACAAAACATCTGACTTTCCAATAGTGGGTCTTTAATTTCGTATATAAATAAAATTTCAATCAGAATTTTGGTAGTGGCACTGTAATCTATTATTAACAAAACATAATTATTACAAAAAACAAATAAATAAAAAATCACTGTTGCATTGTTGTGTATAAATTTGAAAAATTACTGGGTACCACTGAAGCACGGCCACGTAGTGTTCCAAAGTATTATGATTAGTAAAAAAGTAAAATTCATAATTTTGTATCAGCTGATTGAAAAATACAAGAAGACATAGTGAATAATAATTAGTAAAATAGTATGGACCCTTGATACCCCAAGAATATCTAATAATTTTCCAAAAATTTGCTCATATGAAAATTATGTTAAATCATTTTCCGAACATGAATACCAATGCCTCCAGGTTAGGGTACTGAATTCAACACATCCATAACAAGGAAAAAACAATAATTGTATTAGTTGTGAACTCATCAATTGTCTTAACAAATAATACATTGATTTGCTCTAGTGTAACAATATAAACTAAAACCCAAAGCCAAAAAAAAAATGAAATTACAAAAAATTACCAACATCACTGCTGGAGACTGCTACAAAATTCTTCCAAATTATAATGGCAAAACTCAAACGGCATAGATCTTTCACACCTAAGCCCAGCCTCTTGTATCTCTGAAGAGGAGCACAATTAATCGACAAATTATAACGCTTGATATTTGATTATGTAGTGTCTTCCCCCCATCACAATAAAGCAAATTCCCCATTGCCCTAGTCTTCTGGAACAAGGAGGGTAAGGTAAGAACATTTGGGGATCACAAGGATTCTGGACTCGTGGAGGGCCTAATTCTCGAGGGCATTTGCATACCACCATGTAATCCACCTCCAAACCGATAGTTCAATGAATTCTTGGGTGTGATGGACATTTTGTTCAAAGAATAGTCGAATTCATCGAGATCAAGATCATGTTCCTCAAAACTCCCAACCATTGCATCACCTGCTGCTATGTTCTCCCCACTTCCACCCATAAATTGCTCGACAACATCTTCATCACTGCTACCTTCTTCTTCATCGTCATCATAAGTTGTTCTGACCATTGACCAGTATACAAAGTTTGGCCGGATAAATCTACAAATTGAAACATTACCCAAAATGAGAGGTTAGGAAAGAAAAACAATAAAAATGTCACTGAAATATTAAATACTAACCACAAGACCGGAAAACCATCTTCCGGATAACTCCAATTCATTTAGGCTGCCTATAAGCATGGACCGGAACACATGTCCGATGTGCTTACTTTTAATTATTGTTTGTTTCTCGTTAAACAAGTGAAATTTGTATTTTTGATAGATGATTTATTCATGAATAAATTAAATATTTTGACATTTGTAATGTAATGATTTGTCTTAAGGTAAGTGAAAATTACTTTCTTTGTTAACATGAAAGGGTAGAAATCCAGTCTCCCAAATAAACTAGGACTAATCTGAGAAACATAAAAGCATAAGCGAGCGCAAATGAGTACAGTGAATACACTGGAACCAAAAGTTTGGCCTTATAGGTAGCCCTACAAAAGAAACAGTATAGAAAACAACTAGCCCAATTATTGCATAAAAAAACAGAAATGGCATAAGCAGACCAATTTTTTGCAGTTTACCACAAAAAATTGCTCCATTTCAGAAACCATTTAAAACAAAAGACTAAATAAAAGTACCTGTCCGATTTTTTCAACAAACATGGGTCAAATGGGAAGAACATGTCAAGCCTTTCCATCCCACCAAAAGCTCTGGAAAGTTCTGATTCCAACATATCATTAAAGACAAAGACCTCCGACACTGTGAATAAACGGGCTGCTTTTGCCTGCCGGAGAAATTCCTCTACTATGGATGGCAAGCACACCTATCCAATAGATAAACAGATGAATATACAACGTTTCAATGAGCAAAAACTTTCAACAAGGACAGTGTAAGGTTGCACTGCATATGATATTATGGAAGCAGAAAGACGAGATCAAGTAGAGATGAGGATCACTAAAAATCATGACTAACCATAAACTCCTACGGTTCAGGAGAAATTAATGTAAAAATATTCTATCATTTTAGCACAGATGCTGAAATCTATTCTTTAATTTTAAAGTTGCCTGAAGATAGTAAACAGGGGGCTTCACCTTCAGCGGATTCAATGGATGCTTCAAGATTGCCTCAATAGGCATAAGAAAAAGTTGAGATTTTAGACGAGGAACATCCATCACTGATCGCATACGGAAGCAAAGCACATACATGATGGCCTGCGCCAGCAGAAAATGACATAAGAAAACTCGTGAATATTCCAAATCACATAAAAATTCTAGTACAAAACCCCAACAAATCAAGCAATGAATTGTACAATGTCAAATAAGCATATAAGCATTCAAGGTTCATGCTATAATATCAATAGATATAGAGACTGCAGTCAAATTCAAATGAAGCATCAAAAAACTATACTGCACTCATGCACCACGAGGTCCATCACCAACTGGAACGCCACGTTGGACAGACAACATCACAAATTAAGCTACTATTAGGGTGCAGATTTATGCACCTATAAAAAGTAAATATCTTCCCACTGGCATAATTTTACATTGCGAAGGCTCGAGATTGGAATCCGAAACAATGGATGCCACATTATGAACAAAAACCCAAATCTTCACAAAAATACACAAAACATGAATAAAATCACCATGTGAAGATTTCAGCTCAATAACCAAAACTCAACAAATTAAATATATCCAAAAAAAATAATCACTTTGCTTGTTTTTTGGTTTTCCAAAAACTCTTTTCAGAAAATTCTACTTTCTTGCTTTCGTTTTTTTTTTTTTTTTTTACTGAATTTTTTAAATATTTTAAGCATTTTTTTTAAAATTTTTAGGCACACCAAACATAAATACACATAAAAAGTATAATTTTTGTGAAAAACATCTTTTAAAAATTCACTAAATACCAAAAATACAAAAAAAAAAATAATACGAGAATTCAGTATATTTTTTGTATTTTTATGTATTTATTAATTTTTTAAAATATTTTTTCACAATTTTTTTACTTTTTAGATACATCTAAATAAAGTGCATCTAAAAAAGTTAAAAAAAAAAAGCTTAAAATTTTAAAAATATTCACTAAAAACAAAAAAACACAAAAAACGAAAAAACAAAAAACTCATTTTTCAAAAAACTTAATCCAAAAAACTCAAACCAAGCACACAATAATTTTTGAAACCTTTATTTGCTAAATTGCTACACGGATATTATCCTTTCATAAAGGATAGGATAGGAAACTTCAAAGATGAATAAATAAATACATTTTTTTTAAAGCATGCCTGGCCCCTCAAAATGTCATCCCATTTGTGATGGAGCATAGTTATGATTCCGAGCATGATGTTCCATAAGTGAATTTAAAAGCATAATATATACCTGGCATCCAGAATAAAAAACTCTGTGAGCATTTGCATTGATGTCGCCATCATGATTTTCACTATATGTCCAACACCAACTGACCAGCCTGAAAACCTCAAAACACAAAAAATGACACGGTATCAGAAATTCACATTTCCTTTCCCTTATTTTGATTGGGTAGGTAAGGAACTGATTGACAACCTTTGCAAGATCTTAACAACAAAAGAGACTGACAAAAACTTTGCACGGGATAAATAGCTTGCAAGATAGGCAACGGCACTCATCCTGCACAGAAGCAATAGAAGAATTACAACCATATAAACAAGTAAAAAAGAGTTTGCAGAACTAAGAACTTCCAATGATTCACACTGCAGATTAACTACTTTGCTAACATGGTTGCAGAAGAACTCAGAAAAATACTTGTTGAAAAGAATTGCATCACTAAATCGGAAAGCATTTTTAAAATAATAAATAAAGAGGAAGAGTGTCAGCAACTAATCCACTTCAAAATTCACCTAATGACTTGAGTTCTCTAGTTCCCAACAGCATAGAAATCTAAAGGGTTGTTTGGAATGACCTAAATAAGTGCACTTTTTGTCTTTTTACGAAAAGATGTGCAGAAAAGTAGAGAGGTGATGTGATAGAAAAAAGATAAAAAGATAAATTATTTTTGAGTTGCCAAACTTGACCTAAATATGTTTTTAAGGACTTGAGTCAAGATCCTCACCTTGCATTTCCTTCTTGCTGTACACATGGAATTTTTTGCTTCAAAATATCACATACTACTGCAATTTTGCGATAGCAAGGATTATGCCCAACTCAACTAACCCCAGTTAATACAAAAATATAACAAAATATTATTAAAATGTAATCAATTATGAAACAGTAAATAATTATATTTTTTTATAAAAAAAAGTAAAAATAGAAATGCTTATAGAATATTAACACTAAAAAAATCAAGCCTTTTACCTTGAACAATACATTATGAAAATAGTACATGAATTTCAAATTTATATGAATATCATCTAGTGATTGTTATCTATGAAGCACGGACACGCATACGGACACGGACACGGGACACGGCAATTTCTAAAAAATGGGGACACGGACACGGCAGGGGACAAGGCAAATTTTTTATTTTTTTTATAAATATTTTTATTTTAATACATATTAATTATTTTATTTATTTATTATATTTTTAAATAATGTGTTGTAATTAATTATTTTATTTTACATACATGTATTTATTTTTTTATTTATTAATATGTATAAGTATATATTATCTTATAATATGTATTATCCATTATCTAATGAGTATATTTATGTTATATAATAACTATTATATAATATATAATAAAATAATAATAGTTATTAGTTATATATATTATATATAGTTATTATATAATAAAATAATAATAGGTATTAGTTATATATATTATATACGAATATATAATAATTATAATAGTTATAATATCAAGACATGAAGACAGACGGGAGAGAACCGAGAGAGGGAGACAGAAGCAAGGAGACGATCATGATCAGAAGCGAGAGAGGGAGACGATCGCGATCGCGATCAGGATCAGAAGCGAGGGAGAGAGAGAAGGCGAGAGAGAGAGAGAGCTCTGCGAAGGCAAAGGCGAGACACAGAGAGAGCTCTGCGAAGGCGAAGGGGCTGGATCGTCGAAGTAGAATGGGGCTCTGGATCGTCGATCGAAGTCGAAGGGCTCTGGATCGTCGCCGACCAGGTTTGTTCTCGTTTTCCCCCTTTCAGTTACTCTTCTCGCCGTGTCCATGGCGTGTCCAGATTCGGACACGTGTGTCTCCTGCAAAAAAATAAATTAAATTAAGGGGACATGTCAGATGCCGTGTCCCGTACGTGTCCCCGGCGTGTCCCCGTATCCGACACCGCCACGGCGTCCATTTTGCCGTGTCTATGCTTCATAGATTGTTATCCTGTACATTCATCTAGATAATTCTGAACAAAAGAGATCCCAAGAACTTAATTAACTAATAATGGTGAAGTCAATAGATACTCTTCCAGCTCCAACTTGAAACACTCAAAAAAAAAAAAAAAAAGAATATATATTAATTCATTGTAAGCACATGCTATTATGCTAAGAAACTAAAAGAAAATGGTAACACTAAAAAAATAGAAGTTACATTAATTCATTGTAAGCCCATGTTATTATGCTAAGAAAGTAGAAGAAAATGACACCCTCAAAAAATAAATTTTAAAACAAAAGGAACATTTTATAGGTTATGTATATGTTTGTTTATAATAATAAATATTTCACGTTTATAGGTTAATTATATGTTCATTTATACGTTAGTGTGAATTAAATTAATTGATACATGAAGATCATTTTTGTGTGTCGGTTTTTTTGTGTACTTATGGCTTTTTTTTCTTTCTTTTTTTTGATAAATTGTGTACTTATGGCTATTTGTTGGACTTTTTGCATAGTTGAATGTCCATTTTGATGTAGTTTTGATATTTCTAATCTCCTACTATACCAAAAAAATTAAGAGAGTGAACTTAGTTCAGCATACACATTGTAATTCATAGAATAATTATTCTCCAATAAAAGCTGCTAAAAGCTTAGATGAAAACCTAATGTATAATAAATTTTAGAAATACATCTCCTTTTCTATTCCAATCTGCTGTAACCGATACTGATTTCCAGTGGCAGATTTCAAACTCTTTCTATGCAATATGGATTGAAAAGATAACCACAAAACAAGATTACAATTACTTGTCAGCATAAATAAACTGACAATGTACTGTACAACAAGAAGGGCAAAAGAAGCATCAGACAACTAAATATCCTAATTCATTACCTCTTAAGAGGGGAAAATGTACTGCCCATAAAAATATCTGAAAGAATATCGGCGAATTTCATGCCACAATTATCAGGATCTAGTGCACAGGCATAGAACATCACAAACTGCAAAAAATATAAACAAAGTCTAAATGAAAATATGGTACCAAAAACTAATCATAAAGCGATGCTAGCTAATTCTAAAAACGTAATGCATGAAGAAAAAATCTTCAAATATATCATTTATACAGGAAGCTTGTGCACGTAAAAAACACATTTCTAATATGTCGTTCGAAGTAAATACCTGAGTGAATTTTGACTTGTAAGCATTCAAGACAGTTATCTCAAATGACTGGAGGAGCGTTTCAAACACCTGATTATGGCATTAAAGGGAATAAAGAATAATTGATTAGAGGAACAAGACAGCAAAGTAACATTTTCATATAACAGATTGCTGAGCTTACCTTAACTAAACGACCATCATCATTACAAGATTTGAGATGCTCAAACATAAGCACCAATAAGCTATCTAATTTTTCAGCAAATACATTTCCCCGAAAACTCTTCCCATTTGAAAATTCTCTTGGAAGCTGGGGGAAAAAAAAATTGCATTAATAAACTCACAAAGGGTAAAACAAAACTCAAATGGGTTTCAAAAGATCACATGTAAAAAAACACACCTCATCACAGTCATCATCTACGGTCTCTTCCACATCTTCTAGCTCCATCTGAAATATGCCTTTACTAGAATCATCTTGCAAAATATCTTCCCATTCTATCTCCACCTGTAAGAAGTACAAATGCAGAGTTTTAAGGTTAACAGGTGCAACTCCCTAACTGCACACTGATTTACAAGGCAACCTTAGACAACTCACATCCAAATCTATCAGCCTATCCACCACTGCAATATGCATCATGCTCCCAACAAGTTCTCCCATAGCACCACTCTCCAATATTAACATGTTCTCCACATATAACGCAATCAACTACAATAACAGATGTGTATAGCATCAGATAGATGGTTTACAACAACAACAACAAAAACACTATTATAATCAGAAATCGAAAATTTATTAATGCAAGACACAAGAATATTCAAGCATAGCATAGTCAGTAGGAAAGACAAGTGTATAGCAGTAATTACAACTATTAGTATGCAGTGGCCCATATTACAGTAGCAGAATCATGTATGGTAGCATGTATCTTTCTATTGCAATGTGCAAGATGTAGTCTAAAATGGCTGGTCATGAGCAAGCAAAAAAGTTGTTATTACCCAATGCAGATGTGCACAAACATGTCAATGCATTACGTGGAGGGAACCTCACTAAGGACACTCAGCTCATAGGGTGCAGATAACAATAAGGCAAGGTACATAACTCACATGATGGCATATGACCAGGCCAAATATGGCTCAAAAAGGCAAAACAGGTGAAAAGTAAAAAAAAAGTTATAAGAGAATCCAAATTGATTGAAAAATCAATCAAAAGAGCCAATTCTATTTTGAATGTGGATGAACCGAGCAGACAAAATGTTCCCTCCAACCTCAATGTTGCTGCACAAATCATCAATGTGATGGAATTTTATGTCTTCAAATAATCAACCCTGCTTGGATGCTATAGTGAAAATATGATACACAATAGTAACATCGAATAAAATAGAACGACAAATTTAATAGTAAAAACCAACTAAAATTCAAGTTGGGTAGCATTATTTGTAACTCACAGGTTCCTTGCTAAAAACGTTCGGCATTTTCTGAATAACTATTGGCAATAGTCTTAAAGGTGCAAGAGGCACTAAATCAGAAATGCCTTTCAGCGCGGAATGCAGCCGATAAAGAACTTGGCCCTTTCTTGCAAGACCACGTGGCTGCTTCAGCAATTCTAGGAAAGAATGTGCAGGCATGAAATTGCTTACAAGCATGTCCAAGCATGAATCAACATATTTACCACTTGATGCAGCCTGCAATTCAATACATGAAATATGCTTAAGAAGGATACACATAAAAACCTTGCAGGTATTACAAGAGATGAGACCGACATACCAAAGATATTATCAGCTCAACCAATGCATCCATCACATCAGGCCCGTAGTCCCACATGCTCATTCGAAATATCTGAAGAGCAATCACATATGAGAATTTTAAATAGTTAGCCTCGAGGATACATAAAATATTACCATTACATGTCAAGTTCATACATCAGTAACTTACAGCAGAAAGAAGAGAGTCGTGGTTAACACTATCAATATAAGATACTGCTCCTGACAATGCCTTTAGACTTGTCTACCGAGCAACAAGAAACAAAGAAAAATAAAAATAAATTATGAGAACGGCAAATTATAATTGTTACTTAGAAAATAAAAAAAATAAAATTACTTGTCATATAACAACATACCACAAGAAGTGCCACCTCATCTGGGGTAAGATATTCTCTGTGGTGGATAACCCCAATTAGCTGATTATAACTGTCACCGTCACCCTGAGACATTAAGGTTAAGCTTTTATACACTTATCAAGCCTTTGACATAAAAATAACTGACTAATATGCTTCTAGACATTAAGAATGTGTAATTAATCAAGTTAGTGATATAGACAGTAGCATAGGAAATTTGGATGCAAGTCAAAAATAAAAAAATAACCTATTACTTTACTTATTAAAATGGTTCCTGGGCTTGCACCCCAACACTTAACACGCAGAAGCAATGATTTAATACTGTAACATCATGAACTACCCACGGGTCATTAGAGCGTGGAATAGGAAAAAAACCATAAAAAAAAAAGTAGTCGCTAGAAGTAAAAAGAGAAATAAAGTCACTAAAATTACAAAAACCCATGTCATGTATGGTTAATCAAGTCAGATCCAGCTATCAGGAGTTCAATTTGCTAAATACAAATACGGGTGACAATAATTCAAGGGTAGCTAGTAACCCAGAAGAAACAAGAGAGTAAACAAATTCACATCGTTGACCTTTACATGACAAACTTGTGACAGTTACATAAGAAATAAAGTATGACTAATAGAGTAGAGCCAACTCGACCCGTAACATTTCTGTACTTAACAGAATGCTTACCAGGGTGACTGATCTGAGGGCATCTCGGACGTGATATACCAATTCTGAATCAGTGAAATTAACACCCTCCATTTCAGCAAATCCTGCCCTTTCAGTTGCTAAATCCACTCCCATGGTCTCTATACTACTGCTCCACTGGGGCTGGGCAACTTAAATTTTATAAACTAAACCTGCACAATGAAAAAACCAGAGTGAACACGATGCCCGTGTTTACCGCAAACCAATCCAGGAATGCAATACTGCTAGACTCTGTAGCATTTGCCTAGCATAATAGAATTCAGAGCATTTCTTGCACAACAAAATGTTTACGAAATTTGGAGTAAATTTTAAAATTAAAAAAGAAATAAAAATTATGTTCCTAACGAAAACAACTTGGGCATATTGGAATAGGGCTTAAAAGCACGAATTCAAGCACAATTATTCAATGAAAAAGGCAGAGCATATATCATTAACATAAATTGAAACAAACCCAGTGTATTAAAATAACAACCCTGAAATTCGTCATATAATAGCATCAATATGAGCTCAAATTCAAACTGTTAGGTTCCGAATTACATAAAACAGTTCAGTGTTCTAACAACAGAGTTTCACACATCTGTCAATTGTAATCATATATTCAACAGAAACCTGTAGACAAACCACAATACATATGCACACATATAGATACACAAACAGAGATATATATATATATATAGAGAGAGAGAGAGAGGGAGAGAGAGAGAGAGAGAGGGAGCTTACGATCGGGGGAGCGAAAGACGGAGAGAGAGAAGAAGAGTTTGATCTATGAGACGAAAAACCCTAAATAGAAGCTGCAGTTTCTTCGTCCCTCGCTCTCGCTCTCTGTCTGTCTATTGTTGCCGCCAGACCGAAAACGAGGCGGAAGCTAAAAGGATGTTCAAACTTCCCACACAAACCCTAACCGCAACTACTGCTTACCCTAACCCTGGTTAAGGTTAGGTTTGACATCTCTTAAAAAAAGTTAAAAAGTCAAAAAGTTATTATCCTATTTAAGTCATATCATCTTATTTAAGCCACATCACCTCTCTATCACATCATTTTAAACTCAATCCATATTTCATAAAAAGTCAAAAAATACTTACTTTTTAGCATTACTCTCCTAAAGCCATTTGATTTTATAAAATTTACACCATATATAGCATATCATTAATGATTAAAATCACAACCCTAGTAGTCCCTCAATGAGTTGAAGACAAATTACAAAAGAACTATTTTAAAAATATAGTTATAATCAATTTTTTGATTAAAAGTTGATTGTAATTAACTTTTTGTGAGGGAGGGAAGTGAGTTATAATCTCGGAAGTAGATTATAACCCACTCCCAAAAAAACCCTAAAGGATAAATAGTTAGGAATAGTTCTTAGACTACAATTAGAAAATAATCAATTAATAAAATAGCTATATTTTATTTATTTTCTAATGTAGAATGTTTATCATATTTTATTTATATGAGTCCTAAATGTCTTAGGCGTTATTTACAGTATGACTTTTTTAGCGATTTTTTAATTTTTTTTTTTTATGAGGTAGAAAGAGTTTAATATGTTTGAAAATAATTTTTTTTTAGTTGTATAGCTAAAAGCCAAGTTATTATTTATTATGAGCATACACTTACGTAGTCAAAAAAATGTAATGAAAAATATGATAATGATTACAATATTACTCAAAAACAATTAATTTATTTTCTTGTTTAATTATTTTTGTGGATTGATGCTACTATAATTCTTGTGAATTAAGCTAAATTATGATAATGATAATATCCAGCTTGGTTTACTGGTATTTTTTAACTGCTAAATAATTTAGATACAGCCTCTGTTTGGCAAGATGGTTTTGAGGCTTTTTTGGCTATTTTAGCCACAAAAAACAAAATAGGCTATTTTAGCCATAACAAACAAAACATCACATCCAACCTATAATCATTACATTCTTCTCTCACAAAAAAAGTCAAAAAAGCCAAAAAGCCAAAAAGCCAACCTTATTAAACTTTTTTTTTTTTTTTTTAACGTATTTGTCCCTCGCTTTACTATTGAAATTTTTTTGAGACTTTTTTGATGTGTTTTGTGTTTATGGAGTGGTTATTTGATATTGGTAAGTTGAAATGTTTTTGACTCTTGTTTGTAAGTTTTTATTATTTTTAGTTTATTTATATTAATTTGCATTGAAATATGATATGAAAAGTATAAATAGTTAAATTGTATTATAAAAAATTTATTTTTACAATAATAAATTAATCATTCAAAATTAGAGTTGACTTTTAATAAATAAGTTCACTGTACCGAACTTGCTTATAATTGCTCCATTGTTTTATTCATGTTCCCAATTTTGTTCATTTAAAGCCACTTATATTTTAAAAATTAGTTTTTTTTTTTTTTTTATGACTATTGTGAAAATTAGTCGGTTGCTGAAATTTTTTTCTCATCAAAATCGATGACTATAAATTTATAATAACAATAATAATCTATTTTTTATGAGTCAAGGTATATTTGCTATGCCTATTATAGCCCCGTTTGGTAGAGTTGTGAAAAAGTGATTATAGATTATACCTTAACAGATTATGACTTATAGCTGTAAACATAAGCTGTGAACCTGTTTGGTGCGGCTGTGGGATTATGGATTTAAGCAGTAGAGTAGTGTGCCTATTTGGTGCAGCTTAAAAGCTGCTTATTTCAGCTTTCAGCTTAATTTAAGCTATTTTGATGTGTTTGGTTTAGCTTAACAATGCAGCTTATAGTTTTTTATAAGTCAGAAATCAGCTTATTCTTTGAGTGGGACAAGAGATGCTTAATTTATAAGTCAAAAATCAGCTTATCTTCATAGTTATAAGCTATAAGCTGTCATTTTTACTATGTAATTGTCAATTTTGCCCTTATATGATATAAAAATGATTATTTTGTCATTTTTCAGTTTTAATTTTAAAAAAAGTATTTCATTAATAAAAGTTAATATAATTAGCATCAATTAATACTAAAATTAATAATAGTTTCAATTAGTATAAATTTTTTCATTTTTTCATTACAAATTAATTAGTGTCAATTAATGGCTTAATTACCATCAATTAATACTAAAATTAATAATAGTATCAATTGGTTTAATTTTTTCATTATGAATGAATTAGGTGTCAATTAATGGCTTATTTACCATCAATTAATACTAAAATTAATAATAGTATCAATTAGTTTAATTTTTTCATTTTTTCATTATAAATGAATTAGGTGTCAATTAATGGCTTAATTACCATCAATTAATACTAAAATTAATAATAGTATCAATTAGTATAATTTTTTTCATTTTTTCATTATAAATGAATTAGGTGTCAATTAATGGCTTAATTACTTATTATAAATTTTTTTCATTTTTTTCCATTATAAATTAATTATTATAAATTAATTGCTTATTATTTTTTTTCATTCAATTTTTTTAATTTATTATTCTTTTTTAAATAATATTAATAATCAACCATTGTTATTTTTTTTAATTTTGTTATTTTTTTTATTTTGTTATTTTTTTTAATTCTTTTTCATTACCGTACAAAATAATTTATTATTCTTTTTTTAAAAAAAAATCATTACAAAGCCCTTGCCGTACGCCGCCAGCCTCTTGTCGTCCCCTCCAGCCGTACGCCGTCGACCCCCCTTCTTCTCCTCCGTTTCAGATCGGCGACCAACTGGTGCTGTAAAACCTTAGCTGCCGATCTGCAAAACCCTTCTGTCCTTCTCCTCTTCATCCCGATCGCAAAGTTCTCGTTTGCGAAACCCTAACCGCCAGTCTGAAGCAGCAATCAAGCAACGTTGATTTCGAGTTTCGGGAGGCGTCAGAGAGCGAACAGCGTTGATGCGCGAGCCAACAATACAGGTGCGGAAGGCGGCAGAAAGCGAGCAAGCAGTGTTGATTTCCAGTTTCAGATTGCGATCTAAAGAGAAAGGGAGAAGGAGAGAGAGAAAAAAATGAGAGCTCTCGCGCGGAAATCATGTGTGTATGTGTGTGAGAGAGAGAGAGAGAGCTCTAGCCGGAAATCACCCTCGCCGAGAATCGCCGCTGTATTTCTCCCACATGTGAACAGTGCTTAGACAAGGCTTATATAGTGGGGTTTTTGGTAATAGTTAAAATATCTGAGGGGCATTTAAGTCATTATACATCATGATCCTCAGTTGCGCGCATAATCAGTTTGGAAGAACACCTCTTAGGCAACTTAACAGATTATGAGTGAAATGGCTTAAGTTAAGCCATAATTCATCCCTCATAATTTTTACCAAACACTCCAATATGACTTATTTTAAGCTATAAGTTGATTTAAGCTATAAATAAGTTATACCAAACGACCCTTGTGTGCTTCAATTCTGACTTTAAGTTGGGCTTGGGCTAATCCTTCTTTTGGGCTCATATAACCAAGTTAAAGATAAACATTAATACTGCTGGATATCAATAACAGCCTACATAAGCCTACAAGGTTGGGCCGAGTGATTCCTTTATGGGAAAATTAGCCATAAGTCCTATTTGAATTATGTGTATACTATTTAATGTAATAACTTTTTGAGTAGACCCAAAAGTCCTACTTTTCCTTTCTCTCTCTCCCTCTCTCTCTGTTTTTTGCCTCATTCTTTACGTTTTTCTCTCATTTTCTTTGTCATGGACGACAACCAGTGATTACACATTTCTTATTCTTTTTCTCTTTCTAATATATAGTCACCGGTAACCGATGACCACCATTGATTGGGGTTTACCGGCAAGCACCAACCATTGACATCAACTCGTGACTTCATTCTCACCGACGCGCGAAGAAGATGAGTAAATTTACTTAAATATGATGAGTAGATCTATATGAAATCCGACTAGATCTAAACCAAAAATAGTTGTCGGAGTACAATATTCTTTATGTATCTATTATTTCATTTAATTTCTTAATTTTTCTACATTTTCTCTGTTACACAAGTCTATTTTTCTGTTTTAATGGATAAAATTTTTAAATTCTGAATAAGTTGTTTTTTAGTATTAGTTACAGGCGGTGAAAACTGTAAAATTTTGCAGTTTCAATTTTTTTGGTGCTAGAATGAATCATGGTTTAAAATGCAAAATTTTACAATTTCATAACATTCTTTAGAACTGTAAAATTTTACAATTTCAAAACATTCTTTGGAACTGTAAAATTTTGTAGTTTCATAACATGTGTTTTCAGTTTGATTAATAAAGATAAATACTTAATAGATTTTTGCTTTGAAACTGTAACATTTTACTATTTCAAAACTTGTTTTCAGTTTGATCAATATTGAAAATTATTTGCTTAAACCTTACAAAAATTGAAAAATAATATATGTTTTTCCCATTGTTACTTTTTTGTCGTTACATTTTTTTCCCTTTTAGTTTATAAATATTTAGCACATTTTGCCTTTTTTTTTGCTCTAATTTCTCTATTTATTTTTATTTTTTTTGCAATATTCTAGATATTTCGATGAGTCTCCAATGATGTTGTTAACGTCCAGCGAATGTTCTGGACATTCTAATGACTTCTATCAGTGTTCATAACAGTCCGGCGAACTTCCGGCAACTTCTCGACAATACTCCGACGACTTTCCAGCGATACTTCGGCAACTTGCCGATGATGTTGAACATTTCGGTGAGCCTCCGGTGACCGTCTAACGGAAGTCCGACGATAGTGGGATGTAACAGCATCTGTAAGTTTTTATAAAAAAAAATAAGATTTTTTTATAACAATTAAAAATATATAAGACTAATTAGTACAAGTATTTTGTTTTGGAATTAGATGAGCTTTAAATTTTATATATAGGACAATATATAAGACTAATTAGTACAAGTATTTTGTTTTGGGATTAGATGAGCTTTAAATTTTATATATAAGACTTATTGGTAAGTTCCCCTTTATTTATT